GTAGGAAGGACATTTTGGTCTTCACAATTATTTTTTTTATTCATTAAAAAGACATGTAATGGGATTCAAACCATGACCATCTTAAAGAAAAGCAAGGATCATAACCAATCACACTAAGTACATTTGTTGTATCTTTTTAAAATTAAAAACATATAATACCAGGGAGGAAAAAACCGTTTCCCCATTTCAAATTCCCTACTCCAGGAGCGTTTGTAGGAAGGGTAGAATAGGGAGTGCCAATTTTTTTATCTTTCCTCTGTGGAACGGGCCAACTTACCGTACACATGCGGATTTAAACGGTCTAGGAGTATCAATTTTTTTCTTTAAGCCCTTTTATTTCTCCGCGGTGATAAAATATATACGAAAAGGCAAAAATAATACTCATTTTTATTGCTAAAATAAAAAAAATTAAAAATAAACTAATGCATGGTATTTAATGGGCTAACCGCTAACCATAAAATAAAAGAGTTGAATGGGCCTGACCTACACGTAGAGGTGCTAATTGGATTGGATTCGTGGATTCGTGGATTGGATTGGTGGATCCATGGATCAAATGGATTGGTGGATTCATGGATTGGATCAAATGGATTGGTGGATTGATCCATGAATCCAAATGACATCCAAGGCTTGGATCAAAAAGTAAAATTTGAAAAGTTTTGGTACTAAAATGTCATAATGAAAAATTTTAGGTACCAAAATGTAATTTTCCAATGATATTTTTCGTATAAAAATATAAATTTTAGGTACCAAAATGTAAAATATAAAAAATATAGGTACCAAATCATAATTTTTCATTTGGATCCATGGATTGATCCATGAATCCACCAATCCAATTGGATTTGGATCAAATGGATTGGATTTAAATGGATTGGATTTAAATGGATAATTTGGTGGATGGATGGGATTGGATTCATGGATTTGGATCCTAATTGCCACATCTACCTACACGGGATTTGGTCATCAAGTAGAAACAAATGAACATCATTGGTTTGTCATTCTAAAACAAGCTATTTTCTCTGGCATAATATATATTATGCTATTATTTTATATCTTAGTGGCTAAAATATAATGTATTTTAAAGTTATTCAATGGTTCAACCTCGACCAACCCAATTAGTCCAATTTTTATCATTTCAAATATATATTATATAATTATTTGATATCATAATGATCAAATTATAGTGTATTTTATTGGGAATCATTTGGTATTTGTTAGTAAAAAACTAAACAGAACAATCTATTTGGTTATTAAAACGATCCTAAACATTTTCAGTTCTTTTTGAACTTTTATGGTTTAATTCCCGAATAAATGATGTGCAAATGGCGAATTGCAGTCATCTCTTTTCTTTCACTATTTTTTTATTTTCAAATAGAAAGTTTAAAAGTAAAGAATAATTAGAATTTGGCATGGGTTAGTCAAACATGCTGAATCTCAAGTTTTGGCCCGTTTTGATCAAGTCTAATTTATAATCACATGGTTCCCTGATACCCGATAAAAATCTCAATCCAAACCAGTTTGGCAGGTGAGTCTGTGTTTACCACCATTTTCTAGGGACACGACAACGGCGGTTCCTATCCCAAATCGTGTTGTTCGTTCTTGATTTCCTTAGATTTTATCATGGCCTAACAAAAATCAGAAAACACAATGACGACAAGATGAAAGTTTTATAAAGCAAATTAATCGACCAACGGGCCGAGTAAAAGCTAGCAACGATTGTGAGATGCTCATTTCCCGAAAACCGACGGGATAGACGATTTTTTATTCAATTTTCTGGAATTCGGTTTCTATAAAACTTACTTCACCTCATCATATTACCAGAAACAATATTGTTTCACAAGATAACATGTACTTGATTTTGGTTCATAAGGCCGATTTTTGATTCATTGCATCATTCATGTCTCTTTCCTGCTAAAATTCACTATTTTTATCACGAGTTTCCCAAAAAAAACTATACAACAATAAGCTATACACCCACGGTTGTCACGCCGGCCGACGTGCCACTGGTTGTACCTGGTTCAACATGTACCGGTCATAAAATCGGCGTGACATCACTGGTATGACCGGTATGATCGATATACGAATCTCTAAGTAAAATAACCTTATTTTAGTGACTTTAATTGTTAAAAATTATTTTATTGTTTATTTTATGAGTATAAATGTTAAATATTGATGTTATTTGTTGGATTAAAATATAAATGTTTAGGTATTGACGTTAAATGTCATGTTTAAAATGAGTATTTATAATTTTATTTGTAATATTGACTGGCATGAACCGGCGCAAACCGATATGTGCCACCGGTCGAACCATTCCACTTGCTAAACCGGCACACTGGCATAAACCGGTTTGACAACCTTGTATACACCCCATTATATTATCAAATTTCATACCGCACCTTCCTCCGGCCAACTGGCCGGGGCCACGCTAGTTCTTAATAGAGAGCATGTGGTTATAAACTTTAAAGAATGTGGCATCTTTTGTTAACTCTCCTTTTTCCTCTCAAGCAAAAAAAAAAAAAAATAAAAGAGAAAGAAAGAAAGGAAAAGGAAGAAAAAGGAAGAAAAAGAAGAAAGTAATAAAGAGGAAAAAGAGACAAGAAGAAAGTGGCCACAAATTCGCACAGGCTCAAAAATTGTGATTCTTAGCAGTCAATCTTAGGATCACAAACATTATTGTTTACCTCTTTCATTCTTATGCTCATACAGGTTCGATAGCAGTTGTAGCAAAGAAAGTGTACTTGGATAGTTTTCATGATTGGTTGTGGTTTGAAATTGTGGAATAGGTGGTTTGTGGTTGTTGTAAGTCGTCTTTGATTGTTGTGAATAGGTTCTAGGCATGTGCCACCAGCCAGTAAAGCCTTTTCCCCGTGTCCTAGATCCTATCCAGTAATTTGAACCCGAGTCTAATACCTCTGGACAAGATAGTGGTGACATCACACTCATCCTTGTTAACTCTAGCATTTAGAGGCTACCGTCATGGTGAAGAGACTATAGGGTTGAAGTGTGAGTATATGCACATCTTTTGCATCAAAATGGTTATGACCCCACTGGTCGAGATTGACCTATATAGATTGCTCGGTCGTTCATTCTGATGCCTTGATCTTTATGCATGGAAAACTGTGATTGGTGAGTCAACGGAACATGTTATATATTGAGGTGTGAACAAGGTGGGAACTCTTCCTTTAGATGATTTACTACGTTTGAATGTCATTTGTGGTGGTTGTCAGGATCGTGTTGGTGTTGTCCATATATCGCTGCCATATAGACATTGAGATTCATTTGCTTTGTGCCCAATGATGTGCCCCCAAGTTGTTGAGATATTGGTTGAAATATTACCTTGTGTGTGATTGGTTTGCTTGGGGACAATCAAACATCCAAGTGTTGGGAGAGGGTGTTTTGGGTTAGATTATACACATTTATACCCCGTTATTTTGTCACGTTTGTTCTTATTTTGTTATGTTCAGACCTTAGTAGGTAATTATGGCACCGGGATCGAAAGTTGGACGAAAGAGGGGCGAAAATGGAGAAAAATGTTTCAAAATGGCAGAGATCAAGGTTTTTGGTCAATTGTCAAGGGCTGCCGACCGTGAAGATTATGCCCAGACCGTGAAAATGTCAGCTTCCAGATAGTTCAGAAACCTCGCGGGCAAGTCCATTATCACGGTCCCCAAGCCATGAAGATTTTAGCCAGCCCGTGACGTTGTTAAGTGAAATGATGCGTTTCGGCCGACATCACGACTTCTCTTGCGACATCACGGGCATGATGTTGGACCGTGATATGAGCCCGCGGGAACTATATAAAGGGGAGACAGTTGAAACAAAGGGAGAGGACTTAGAGAGAGAGATTATATTTGAGCTTCTTCAAGGTAGAGAGAGAAAGTGGATGATTAAAGAAGAAGGAAGCTTCATCATTTATCAAAAAAAAAAAAAAAAAGAAGAAGAAGGAAGCTTATTCAAGGCTAAAGGGTAGAGGATTTCCTCTCTAAAGGGAGTAGGATACTGTGCCTACCCTTAAAGGGGATGGTTTTTTGACACCCCCTTCTCAATTGGTCAATTTTTTCATTAATTATTGACAAATATTAATGAAAGTAGACATAATAAATGTTCTGTTATTAAATACAAAGTAAACATTAAATACACCACATTAATTACTTATTTGTTAAAAAAAATCTAAACATATACAAAATACAATCCTCTCTCTCATATTTGATTTTTCTTAGTCCTATCTCTGATTCTTCCTTTTACAGCAGCCTCCGACCACCACACTTCGTCGGTAAAATCCCGCCGACAGACTCTCTCCGGTCACTTGCGAAAATATACCACTGCACTGATATGTTGTACCACTACACTAATACTCAGATATGACATTGGTACCAGTGCACTGATATCACTACCAGTGCAGTGGTACAACGTATCACTGCAGTGATATTTTTTTTGCAGGTGGTCGGAGGAGTCTGCCGATGAGATTTTCACCGGAGAAGTATGGCGGTCGGAGGAAGCCTGGTGGTCGGAGGCTGCTGATGAGATTTTCACCGGAGAAGTATGGCGGTCGGCGGAAGCCTGGTGGTCGGAGGATATATATCATTAAATTATATGGTGTTGTTATCTCATTCACTACATACAATACAGATAAGAACATTACTTGCAAATATATTGTTGGACGAATTCAATAAAATTGAAATCACGAAATTATGCAGCACAACAGATACTGTTAGCTCGCCCCAACTCCAACCCCATCAGCATAGTAGCAATGTTTTGGTCGGAAATAGATGGCATACTAGGGGCTCTTGCACAGCAGATTAATACATGGGCACAAAGGACAAAACTTTGGATCATTTCTTAGCCTTGTACAAATACTACCACAGAAACTTTCAAGTTCCAGACTCTTGAAGGAAAAGACTTCATAATGAGAAAAGAAAGGAAGATTAGCATACAGTCATTATCAAACAAGTTCACACAGTATCAGAGGAAGGGTCGGAGCAACAAAACAAGTTCACACATTATCAAACAAGTTCACACAGCAACAAAAAAAAAACAAGTTCACTTACACCAACCAGGGGAAGGGTCGGAGTAGAGGAAGCAGGAGGAGGGCGGCGGGTGTGGACCGTCGGCGTTGGCGGGACGTGGAGACTACGCGCAGAGCAGAGGAGAAGGAGGAGGGTGGCGGGACTGAAGGGCGGCAGGACTGGAGTCGGCGGGAGGCGGCGATGTGGAGGCGCAGAGCAGAGTAGCAGGGGGAGGGCGGCGCGCGCGCGGTATGGATTCGAAGTTCGAACGTCGACCGTCGGCGCCCGGCAGGGAGGTGGGGACTTGGAGGCGCAGAGCAGAGGAGTAGCAGGGGGAGGGCGGCCGACGACTGGAATGGAGACGGGATCCCGATTCGGGCGGCGACGGGAATGGATACGGGAGGATTTGGTGGCGGCGTGCTGCTCTCTGCACTCTGCTGGGAGGTTTGGTGGCGGCCAAAATTTGGGGTTGGAGGAGGTCATTCAAATGCCACATTATAGATATTAGGGTTTTACCTATATCCGGGTATCCACGGGTCGGGTTCCCCCAAACCCGAACCCGACCCAACCCGCCCAGCCAGCCACCGGGTTTTAACCCGAACCCGACCCGAACCCAGTCAACACGGATTTTACCCGGTTTGACCGGGTCGGGTCGGGCGGGTACCCGCGGGTCCGGGTTTTATTGCCATCCCTAAAGGATGCGCCACCGGGCTGGGTTCGAGTGCTTAAGTCCAAAAACTTAAGCATATGCTTAAGCCAATTCTATTGGCTGTTAGTAAAGTAAGTAGTTAATAGGAGTTATTAGTTAAGGGTATTGAGGTAAATTAAATATTTTATTTATTTAAAATTTAATATAATTTCATAATTAAAGGAAAATTAAATGTAAACCCTAAAAATCAATAAAGCTGCGGTTGCTGGTTAGGATTTTTTCCCTAGGGTCGTCTTCAACCTACCGGCTCTCCTTCCAGCTGTCGGCTCTCCTTCTGGATTTTCTCTTCGCTGCGAGTGCTGGCTCTCCTACCTTTTTGTTTTTGGGTTGACGATGAAGGTTCTTGATTTCGAACAGGGAGCTTGTCGTTAGGAAGGGCAGCCTGGTGTTCATCATCGCCGCTTAACAAAGAGGGAGTTCTTCATCGTCAAGGAGCTGGTCGTCGCTTAACGAAGAGGGAGCTTCTTGTTGTCGTCGACGTTTTACCTTCTCGTGTTCGTCATCGTCACCGAGTCTGCTTGTCACCATTCATGCTTGGCAACAATTAATGACGAATTGGCTATTAACGTTTTGTGTTAAAACATACATTGTTATCAACGTTTTGTGTTTGTCAACAATTAATTGTGAATTGGCTATTAGTAACAATTATTCTAACATCGTCAATGAAATATGAAGAAGATATTAAGGATTTACAATAGCATTATTAACAGTTTGGTGTTAATTAAATATAATATAAGCAAAATATATTTAACTTTTTTATGTTTTGAATGGAAAATCTCAATCCCATGAAGTTGGTGCAACTTAACCCTACAACCACCATACCCACTTAATCATATCGGTAAGCTGAATTGAAAAAAAAAATAAAACGAATAAAACATTTCTCATAATAAGATTGTGCAAAACCCAATAACCAAATGAATCCAAAAAATTAAGATGCCCCACCCATCCTTTGCCAAGTACTAAATAATACTTAGTCATAGCCATGGTTCTGCTAAATGTGAAAATGAGTGCTGAAGGAAATCTACACATAATATAATACACTGAAGGGAAAAACGGGAGCCCCATTTCAAATTTCCTGCAACGAGAGTGAAAGTAGGAAGGACATTTTGGTCTTCACAATTATTTTTTTTATTCATTAAAAAGACATGTAATGGGATTCAAACCATGACCATCTTAAAGAAAAGCAAGGATCATAACCAATCACACTAAGTACATTTGTTGTATCTTTTTAAAATTAAAAACATATAATACCAGGGAGGAAAAAACCGTTTCCCCATTTCAAATTCCCTACTCCAGGAGCGTTTGTAGGAAGGGTAGAATAGGGAGTGCCAATTTTTTTATCTTTCCTCTGTGGAACGGGCCAACTTACCGTACACATGCGGATTTAAACGGTCTAGGAGTATCAATTTTTTTCTTTAAGCCCTTTTATTTCTCCGCGGTGATAAAATATATACGAAAAGGCAAAAATAATACTCATTTTTATTGCTAAAATAAAAAAAATTAAAAATAAACTAATGCATGGTATTTAATGGGCTAACCGCTAACCATAAAATAAAAGAGTTGAATGGGCCTGACCTACACGTAGAGGTGCTAATTGGATTGGATTCGTGGATTCGTGGATTGGATTGGTGGATCCATGGATCAAATGGATTGGTGGATTCATGGATTGGATCAAATGGATTGGTGGATTGATCCATGAATCCAAATGACATCCAAGGCTTGGATCAAAAAGTAAAATTTGAAAAGTTTTGGTACTAAAATGTCATAATGAAAAATTTTAGGTACCAAAATGTAATTTTCCAATGATATTTTTCGTATAAAAATATAAATTTTAGGTACCAAAATGTAAAATATAAAAAATATAGGTACCAAATCATAATTTTTCATTTGGATCCATGGATTGATCCATGAATCCACCAATCCAATTGGATTTGGATCAAATGGATTGGATTTAAATGGATTGGATTTAAATGGATAATTTGGTGGATGGATGGGATTGGATTCATGGATTTGGATCCTAATTGCCACATCTACCTACACGGGATTTGGTCATCAAGTAGAAACAAATGAACATCATTGGTTTGTCATTCTAAAACAAGCTATTTTCTCTGGCATAATATATATTATGCTATTATTTTATATCTTAGTGGCTAAAATATAATGTATTTTAAAGTTATTCAATGGTTCAACCTCGACCAACCCAATTAGTCCAATTTTTATCATTTCAAATATATATTATATAATTATTTGATATCATAATGATCAAATTATAGTGTATTTTATTGGGAATCATTTGGTATTTGTTAGTAAAAAACTAAACAGAACAATCTATTTGGTTATTAAAACGATCCTAAACATTTTCAGTTCTTTTTGAACTTTTATGGTTTAATTCCCGAATAAATGATGTGCAAATGGCGAATTGCAGTCATCTCTTTTCTTTCACTATTTTTTTATTTTCAAATAGAAAGTTTAAAAGTAAAGAATAATTAGAATTTGGCATGGGTTAGTCAAACATGCTGAATCTCAAGTTTTGGCCCGTTTTGATCAAGTCTAATTTATAATCACATGGTTCCCTGATACCCGATAAAAATCTCAATCCAAACCAGTTTGGCAGGTGAGTCTGTGTTTACCACCATTTTCTAGGGACACGACAACGGCGGTTCCTATCCCAAATCGTGTTGTTCGTTCTTGATTTCCTTAGATTTTATCATGGCCTAACAAAAATCAGAAAACACAATGACGACAAGATGAAAGTTTTATAAAGCAAATTAATCGACCAACGGGCCGAGTAAAAGCTAGCAACGATTGTGAGATGCTCATTTCCCGAAAACCGACGGGATAGACGATTTTTTATTCAATTTTCTGGAATTCGGTTTCTATAAAACTTACTTCACCTCATCATATTACCAGAAACAATATTGTTTCACAAGATAACATGTACTTGATTTTGGTTCATAAGGCCGATTTTTGATTCATTGCATCATTCATGTCTCTTTCCTGCTAAAATTCACTATTTTTATCACGAGTTTCCCAAAAAAAACTATACAACAATAAGCTATACACCCACGGTTGTCACGCCGGCCGACGTGCCACTGGTTGTACCTGGTTCAACATGTACCGGTCATAAAATCGGCGTGACATCACTGGTATGACCGGTATGATCGATATACGAATCTCTAAGTAAAATAACCTTATTTTAGTGACTTTAATTGTTAAAAATTATTTTATTGTTTATTTTATGAGTATAAATGTTAAATATTGATGTTATTTGTTGGATTAAAATATAAATGTTTAGGTATTGACGTTAAATGTCATGTTTAAAATGAGTATTTATAATTTTATTTGTAATATTGACTGGCATGAACCGGCGCAAACCGATATGTGCCACCGGTCGAACCATTCCACTTGCTAAACCGGCACACTGGCATAAACCGGTTTGACAACCTTGTATACACCCCATTATATTATCAAATTTCATACCGCACCTTCCTCCGGCCAACTGGCCGGGGCCACGCTAGTTCTTAATAGAGAGCATGTGGTTATAAACTTTAAAGAATGTGGCATCTTTTGTTAACTCTCCTTTTTCCTCTCAAGCAAAAAAAAAAAAAAATAAAAGAGAAAGAAAGAAAGGAAAAGGAAGAAAAAGGAAGAAAAAGAAGAAAGTAATAAAGAGGAAAAAGAGACAAGAAGAAAGTGGCCACAAATTCGCACAGGCTCAAAAATTGTGATTCTTAGCAGTCAATCTTAGGATCACAAACATTATTGTTTACCTCTTTCATTCTTATGCTCATACAGGTTCGATAGCAGTTGTAGCAAAGAAAGTGTACTTGGATAGTTTTCATGATTGGTTGTGGTTTGAAATTGTGGAATAGGTGGTTTGTGGTTGTTGTAAGTCGTCTTTGATTGTTGTGAATAGGTTCTAGGCATGTGCCACCAGCCAGTAAAGCCTTTTCCCCGTGTCCTAGATCCTATCCAGTAATTTGAACCCGAGTCTAATACCTCTGGACAAGATAGTGGTGACATCACACTCATCCTTGTTAACTCTAGCATTTAGAGGCTACCGTCATGGTGAAGAGACTATAGGGTTGAAGTGTGAGTATATGCACATCTTTTGCATCAAAATGGTTATGACCCCACTGGTCGAGATTGACCTATATAGATTGCTCGGTCGTTCATTCTGATGCCTTGATCTTTATGCATGGAAAACTGTGATTGGTGAGTCAACGGAACATGTTATATATTGAGGTGTGAACAAGGTGGGAACTCTTCCTTTAGATGATTTACTACGTTTGAATGTCATTTGTGGTGGTTGTCAGGATCGTGTTGGTGTTGTCCATATATCGCTGCCATATAGACATTGAGATTCATTTGCTTTGTGCCCAATGATGTGCCCCCAAGTTGTTGAGATATTGGTTGAAATATTACCTTGTGTGTGATTGGTTTGCTTGGGGACAATCAAACATCCAAGTGTTGGGAGAGGGTGTTTTGGGTTAGATTATACACATTTATACCCCGTTATTTTGTCACGTTTGTTCTTATTTTGTTATGTTCAGACCTTAGTAGGTAATTATGGCACCGGGATCGAAAGTTGGACGAAAGAGGGGCGAAAATGGAGAAAAATGTTTCAAAATGGCAGAGATCAAGGTTTTTGGTCAATTGTCAAGGGCTGCCGACCGTGAAGATTATGCCCAGACCGTGAAAATGTCAGCTTCCAGATAGTTCAGAAACCTCGCGGGCAAGTCCATTATCACGGTCCCCAAGCCATGAAGATTTT